GAATGTTCAGCTGGCAGTATAATCATGGCTGCTCTGTGGAGAGATCAAAGTAGGGAAGGATGAAAACACAGGCAGCAACCTTCCCACCTCCACATCCTATACAGACCACAGGCAGCCCTCTCTTACCTCCCCATCCTATACAGACCACAGGCAGCCCTCTCTTCCCTCCTCATCCTATACAGACCACAGGCAGCCCTCTCTTCCCTCCTCATCCTATACAGACCACAGGCAGCCCTCTCTTCCCTCCTCATCCTATACAGACCACAGGCAGCCCTCTCTTCCCTCCTCATCCTATACAGACCACAGGCAGCCCTCTCTTCCCTCCTCATCCTATACAGACCACAGGCAGCCCTCTCTTCCCTCCTCATCCTATACAGACCACAGGCAGCCCTCTCTTCCCTCCTCATCCTATACAGACCACAGGCAGCCCTCTCTTCCCTCCTCATCCTATACAGACCACAGGCAGCCCTCTCTTCCCTCCTCATCCTATACAGACCACAGGCAGCCCTCTCTTCCCTCCTCATCCTATACAGACCACAGGCAGCCCTCTCTTCCCTCCTCATCCTATACAGACCACAGGCAGCCCTCTCTTCCCTCCTCATCCTATACAGACCACAGGCAGCCCTCTCTTCCCTCCTCATCCTATACAGACCACAGGCAGCCCTCTCTTCCCTCCTCATCCTATACAGACCACAGGCAGCCCTCTCTTCCCTCCTCATCCTATACAGACCACAGGCAGCCCTCTCTTCCCTCCTCATCCTATACAGACCACAGGCAGCCCTCTCTTCCCTCCTCATCCTATACAGACCACAGGCAGCCCTCTCTTCCCTCCTCATCCTATACAGACCACAGGCAGCCCTCTCTTCCCTCCTCATCCTATACAGACCACAGGCAGCCCTCTCTTCCCTCCTCATCCTATACAGACCACAGGCAGCCCTCTCTTCCCTCCTCATCCTATACAGACCACAGGCAGCCCTCTCTTCCCTCCTCATCCTATACAGACCACAGGCAGCCCTCTCTTCCCTCCTCATCCTATACAGACCACAGGCAGCCCTCTCTTCCCTCCTCATCCTATACAGACCACAGGCAGCCCTCTCTTCCCTCCTCATCCTATACAGACCACAGGCAGCCCTCTCTTCCCTCCTCATCCTATACAGACCACAGGCAGCCCTCTCTTCCCTCCTCATCCTATACAGACCACAGGCAGCCCTCTCTTCCCTCCTCATCCTATACAGACCACAGGCAGCCCTCTCTTCCCTCCTCATCCTATACAGACCACAGGCAGCACTCTCTTACCTCCACATTCCAGATAGATCACAGGCAGCCCTCTCCCAACTCTGCATCCACATAGCTAACAGGCAGCCCCCACCCCACCAGCACATTCCACATAGACCACAGACAGCCTCCTCCCATCACTGCATCCCACATGGAACACAGGCAGCTCTTCCCACCTTTGCCTTGCATATGAACCAAGGTCAGCCCCCTACCACCACATCATCCCACATTGACCACAGGCAGCCCCCACCCCACCAGCACATTCCACATAGACCACAGACAGCCTCCTCCCATCACTGCATCCCACATGGAACACAGGCAGCTCTTCCCACCTTTGCCTTGCATATGAACCAAGGTCAGCCCCCTACCACCACATCATCCCACATTGACCACAGGCAGCCCCCACCACCACAACATTCCATATGCATCAAAGGCAGCCTTCTCCCCACACCACATCCCACATACACCACAGGTAGCTCCCTGCAACCTCCACATCCCACAGGCAGCCCTCTCCCACCACCACATCCCACATGGACCACAGGAAGCCCTCTACCACCTCTGCATCCCACATAGACCAATGGCTGCCCCCTTCCCACCACCACATGGACCACAGGCGGCCACCCTCCCCACGCCACATGCCTCCTGGACCACTTGCAGCCCCTTCCCATCTCTGCATCCCACTTAGACCACAGGAACCCCCTTCCCTACTCCGCATTGCATATAAACCACAGTCAGCCCACTACCACCACAGCTTCCCACATTGACCACAGTCAGCCCCCTACCACCACATCATCCCACATTGACCACAGTCAGCCCCCTACCACCACAGCATCCCACATTGACCACAGTCAGCCCCCTACCACCACAGCATCCCACATTGACCACAGTCAGCCCCCTACCACCACAGCATCCCACATTGACCACAGTCAGCCCCCTACCACCACAGCATCCCACATTGACCACAGTCAGCCCCCTACCACCACAGCATCCCACATTGACCACAGTCAGCCCCCTGTGCCGAGCTCAGTACAAACAGGCCGAGTCCAGGCGGACATGTGCCGAGCTCAGTACAAACAGGCCGAGTCCAGGCGGACATGTGCCGAGCTCAGTACAAACAGGCCGAGTCCAGGCAGACATGGGCAGAGCTCAGTACAAACAGGCCGAGTCCAGGCAGACATGTGCCGAGCCCAGTACAAACAGGCCGAGTCCAGGCGGACATGTGCCGACCCCAGTAGAAACAGGCCGAGTCCAGGCAGACATGTGCCGAGCTCATTACAAACAGGCCGAGTCCAGGCAGACATGTGCCGAGCCCAGTACAAACAGGCCGAGTCCAGGCGGACATGGGCAGAGCTCAGTACAATGAGGCTGTATACCAACATAATGCTTGCAATGGCAAACGGTTGTGGTCAACACCCTAGAAACAGGGCCGGTAAGGGGACCTGGATGGCAGAGGTTCGGTCGGGTGGCAGAGGTTCGGTCGGCAGAGGTTCGGTCGGCAGAGGTTCGATCGGGTGGCAGAGGTTCGATCGGGTGGCAGAGGAATTGGTTCGGGGGGCAGAGGTTCGGTCGGGTGGCAGAGGTTCGGTCGGGTGGCAGAGGTTCGGTCGGGTGGCAGAGGTTCGGTCGGGTGGTATTTCTGTCCTAACAGTATGGCCAGGACCATGTCATCACCAATGGTGACCCCAATATGTATCAATTAGGGATGCACAGATACCGGTTTTTCTGTATCGAGTACGAGAACTGATATTTTTTTCCTGTACTCGTCGATACGGAATACTGGAAGACCCATTCAGGAAGCCGGGTGGCGTGTAAAGACTCACTACCCGGATTCCTGATTAGCACTAGGTGACAAGAAAGCATGGAGCTGGCTTTCCAGCCAATCAGAAAGTGTGTGTGTGGCTGCGCGTGTGGGTGTGTGGATGTGTGTGTGTGTGTGTGTATGTGTGTGTGTGTGTATGTGTGTGGATGTGTGTGTGTGTGGATGTGTGTGTGTGTGGATGTGTTTGTGGGTGTGTGTGTGTGTGTGTGTGTGTGTGTGTGTGTGTGTGTGTGTGTGTGTGTGTGTGTGTGGATGTGTGTGTGTGTGGATGTGTGTGTGTGTGGATGTGTGGATGTGTGTGTGTGTGTGTGTGGTCACCTTGATACAGACAGGTATGGAGGGAAGAGAGGAGTCCGCGTACTTCCCCATTAGGATGCTGGCTTGGCAGGAAGACACAGAGGAGAGGTTCTCGGCGTTGTCGGCGTACGCGGTGCTCTGGGCGTAGACGTTGTCGGCGTGACTGGTGATGTCCTTGTAGAGTTGGATGAACTGGTAGAGGTTCATGATCCGGGACACCTCCACAGTGCCGCTGGTTTTATTAATCTGGAACACAGAGAACAATATAAAAGGACATTCCGCGAGTTCAGAGATACCGATACACGCAGCTACAAAGGTTTCTATTCACCCCAAATTTACTTTGCATACACCCCTCCGAGCTGAATTATTGGGTCATTCCTGCCTAACCTCATCCTGATAGAACAACCCCGGAGCTGGGAGTGTGCTAACAGTATCAAAAAAAACAGATCTGCCCAACTGCTTACATTCCCCTTAGCTATGAAACTCCGTTATTTAGCTGTATAATGTATTGCTGGGAGTTGTAGTCCTCTATAGCGGATGGTATTCTGCATTGCTGTATAATGTATTGCTGGGAGTTGTAGTCCTCTATAGCAGATGGTATTCTGCATCGCTGTATAATGTATTGCTGGGAGTTGTAGTCCTCTATAGCTGGTATGATTCTGCATTGCTGTATAATGTATTGCTGGGAGTTGTAGTCCTCTATAGCGGATGGTATTCTGCATTGCTGTATAATGTATTGCTGGGAGTTGTAGTCCTCTATAGCGGATGGTATTCTGCATCGCTGTATAATGTATTGCTGGGAGTTGTAGTCCTCTATAGC